CACTTCCTCAAAGAAAATATCTTCATAATAACAACTAATAATTACATAGTTGATTATTGATAGTGCGAGAAAATACAAGACATTACATTATTAAATCTTCAATATAATAGAAAACTAAAATTCAGAAGTAAGATAAACAATCTATCATTTTTCTATCAAATTACTTGTTTTCATATCTTAATTAATAATTAATTATAAACAATCGAGCGCAAAAATTTTTCTCATATTTTTTCCTTTTGATTTTCTCTATTATTTTTTTTGATGACAACAATAGAAGAGATCTTAGCTAGATTTATTTTTCTTTTTCTTAAACATTTAAGTATTGAATTAAATAATTTAATTATTATTAAAAATAACTATCGATTACCAAAAAAATCAATTTTACGGAAATCATACGATAAAAATCTTTCATTAAATCAAAATAATTCTATTCTTTTAACACAACAAACAGAATCGTTAACTCGTCGTAAAGTTCTTTTTACACATGTTGATTCATTTGAATTTGATCCACAAATTCCATGTAGATTTATTAGTGTGCCACGACGTGAACAATTTTATTTATCAACTAATGATCAACAAATGCAATGCTTATGTCATCATCATTTAAAAACAAATTTAAAAAATAGATCCAAGATTAAACTTAAGCGTCAATAAAAATAACAAATTATTTTATTTTAAGCCTGAACATATTATCCTTGTTAAATATCGAATCTTTATGTAGAGCAAAAAAAAACCTAGAAAAGGTTAAATTTAAGATACTCTTAAATCGATGATTATGTCATAGAAATAAATTTTATCTTTCTTTTTTGAAGAGATTTAAATTAAACAAACAATTGATGATTAGTTTTTTAGAATAGATTATTTCGTTCTTTTATTTCTTCAATAGAATCGCGAGGCTAATAAATAATGATAATAATGAGACAATGAAAGGAAAAGAAAGATTTTTTTTAGCAACACTTTCAACCGAAGATAATGAAATTCGTCGTGATAAGCAATCTATACATATAGAAGAAAAAAAAAGAAACAAACAAAAGGCTATCAGCACAAGAAAAGAAAAAAGAATTTTGATTTTTTTTCTTACGAATAAATAATGAAGAAAAATTTAAATATGTATTTATGTCTTTATGATATGCATTAGCTGTATGACAGCATATGTGCATAAAGTTCTTTTATGGTGCAACACGTTTTGTTGCTTGATTCATTGGTGATACTGTTGCCGATGTTGATGATGATGATGATGATGATGGAGATGAAGGTGAGAATGATGGTGATGTTTTATTGAATTGTTTTGTTGTTGTCATTAAACGTAATTTTTTAACACTTGTTTTAGTTAAATTTTTACTATCGTCAGAGTTCTTATCTCTTAAACTACCTAAACGTTGATGTAATAGTTGGGAACCAGCACCAGGCCATTCACATCGTTGATATGAATCATCAAATACTAAACCTGGTGGACAACGCATTTCAAGCGCACATTGACTGTCACATTTATAACTAAAAGAAACAATAAAAAAGTTAATATCGAGAAAAAAACAGATTAATCAAATACATACAACCAGCCTGGTCGACCTGGAATGCCTTTCATTTGTTGAAGAATATTGAGTCCAACATCAATACATAATGGACCACCACGACACGGTGCGTCACTGGATCCTATTATAAGAAAAAAAAAGATGATAATTTCTAACATGATTAATTTCATATATATACCTGGCATAACTTGAATAGGTGTTTGTGGTTGTGGAAAAACAACAAGTGGTGTTGTATCTACTGATGGTAAAGGCATTGCTGGTTGCATCGGTGGAAACATAACTAAAAAAAAATATAAGAACATTAAATAAAAGACTCATTTTTCTTTTAGAAAAAAAAACATGTTTACCATTGAAATTATTTTCAATCATTGTATTTTGTCCTTGTGAATTAATGATATTATATGGATTGCATGCAACTTCAGATGGAAGTACACATGTACGTCGTTGTTGATCCCACCATAGACCAGCCAAACATTGCATTAAAATACCTATTTATACAGTAGAAGAAGTTTAATAAATTAGATTGTTATTTTTTTTTGTTTTTTTTTAAATCATCTCACCTGATGACATGCCATCTGGACTAATATAGGAATCACATATATAATATTTCGAACAATCTTTTGGATCAGGTGCATAACCCGTTGCAGCAAATGATGAACTACATCGAATTGTTGGTTGACTGACATACCATTCATTTGATGCTACACATGGTTGATAACCAAGTACAGATGAAGGAGCTAAATAAAAAAACGAAGAAGATTATTATTAAATCCTTTAAAATAAAATTAATTTTTTTTTTACCTATTGGTTGAGGTTGTTGCGGAATGCTATTCATATCAAGTGATGGTGAAGGATAATATGTTGGAGTCATAAAGCCACCAGGTTCTGGTGTCATACCATTAACAATAACAGCTACAGTTGGTACTTGAGCTGATGAACATGTTGCATCAATAACTTCTTGTTGTACGACATTCCCTACTGGTTGTCGATCACGCATAAGACTTGTTTTATGAGCTGGACAAGCATAAACACCTTGTAAATTACAAGGCCAATCACAGTATACATTCTAAAAAAATTTTGTTTTTAAAATATTTATTTATTTTAAAGAAAAATATCCCTTACATCTGGTCGACCTGGTTCATTTTGATGACTCCACCATAACTGATAACGATTAGGCATCGATGCACAAACAAATGATGCTAATTCACCCGTTTCATAACAATAATGAAAAACATCACAATAATTTGGATTAGCATAAAATCCAGTTGTACCTAATGGACATGTAAATGATGTTTGAAAATCAATACCCAATGCAATATAACCATTTTCAAGCATTGTACTTGTTAATGAAAATTGTTTTCGTTTATTAATACTAACTACTTTTGGTCTTAATGTCATTGCAAGTAAACTTGTATTAAAAGGTGATGATTGACGTGCACGTGGACATGTTGTACGTGATGTGCATGAACGTCTTGACATATCAAATGCACCTAAATGTGCACCTGGTAATGATGGAACACATTCGAAAACTTTAGCTTCACCATGTCCTTTTGGACACCATGCAAACATATTGCAATATTGTGCTGTTACATCTGATACAGGAAAGAAACCTTCTTTACCACATGGTGATACTGTGGGAGGTTTAAACATAACAGGTAAAACAACAAATTCTTGATTATAAAGTAATGTTGGACATGAATAGGGTGAAAATCTTATACAACTTTTTGTATGTAAATCAAATGTTGATACACCTTCATTAATACCATCTGTCCCTGTTTGACGACATTGAAATGTTCGTCGTGTACGACCCGAACAAGCATGAAATAGATTACAAAACATAACATCTGTATGAATACCATCAGTGATACATTCATAACCACTTGGATTAACACTTCGTACTTCAACAGCTTCATAATATGTTGCAGGTGATGTTTGAGCAGCTAATTGTGAACGTGAATATGAATAACGACGTTCTTGTGGACAAGTATTTGATTTTGTAAATGCTATACAATCTTTTTCTTTAGTATCAAATTGTGATTCAATACAAAGAAATGAACCTATTAATTTAGCATTAATACATTCATGAAAAACATTACAATATTTTGGATCAGCTAAACGAGCTTTAACACCTTGTAAATTTAATGGACATGTATAATTTGATGGATTTGGTATATCAGAATACATAACCATTTGTTGTGATGTTTGAATTGCATTTTCAATT